TTGGTTTTAATTTTACGAGTGGAATATTCACCATAAATCTCCCCCAACTTTGCGAAGATTTTCCGCTGGAAAAACATTCTTTCCTTTCGAAAACGGTATTCACAAGTGCCTCTCTTTATCAGTGGAGGTTTTTTGGCTGTTTGATCATTAGAACCCCTACAAAGTAATTAGTTCATAAATAACTATTATGTATTTATTAATTCATGTGTTGATTTATTGCTTATTTATTTTTTTGACTCTTGATATTCGTGGCAGGAGGCACTGGCGGGCGAGTGTTGGAGGTGGCACGCATTCCAGGACAGTAGCCTCCACCGCCGCAGAGATAATATTCCCATTACGCGCCGACAAAGGGCCCGCCGTCTCGCCCGCTGGGGGAGGGGCAGTCACGTGCTCGGCCACGCTAGTTGCTCGCAGCGGTGTAAGCTAGTACCCCACTACGTAGAGTGCGAGTCTGTAACGAAATGAAAATGTAGAACTTGGTACGAGTGTATCAACTCGTAAGAGAACAAACAATTGAGTAATGTAATTGGTTGCTACGGAGGCTGGTGGGAGAGTCTGGTGAGAGATCAAAGGAAATGAACGCCTGACGATTAAGTCCTGATATTTAAATAAAAATACATCCATGTCCTAGTGTGGACATGGATGTCAAGTATCCTATTGTTAAAACGTTCTCCCTTAAGTTTGGGCTTGCATTCGGTATGGCACTTGGAGACATTTTATTTACTTGTCCGAGATTATCGCTCAAGTAATAATTCCGTCCGATTTTTCACAATCGCAGGGGTAGAATACGCAGCGAAGACGAGCTTAGTACTTGAGGGTGCGGCGGGAAGTTCAGGAGCGAGTCATCAAATCGCATAATATCATGTCTATGTGCGACAGACGTGGGCCTACGCGTGTTCTTCCTATTGTATGCCCTTTCTCTCTTGCGCTCCTTTTCTTTTGTGCTCTTCCTTTCTCGTGCTCTTCTCTTGTTCTCTTCCTCTCCTGTGCTCTTTCTCTCTTGTGCTCCTCCTCTCTTGTGCTCTTCCTCTCTTGTGCTCTTGCTCTCTTGCTCTCTTCCTCTCTTGTACTCCTCCTCCTCCTTGTGTTCCTCTCTTGTGCTCTTCCTCTCTTGCCCTTCTCTCTTTTGTTCTTGTTCACTTGTTCTCTTCATTTTTTGGCGATCTTTCTCTCTCGTTGTGTTCCTCTCGTCTTCTCTTTCCCTCTCTTACTCTTCTCTCTTTGTCCCCGCCTCTATTGTTTCTCGACTTTTCCGCCAGCGGGCAGCAGCTCTCTCTCGTTCGGGCCGCCCTGAAATTGACGGCCTATATCGGCGGGCCCAGGCGAGCACGCGTCGGGACGCCAGCTTTTTGTCCGGAGACGTCCGGACCAGGACGTTAATTCGAGTACGCCAGGCGCCGGTCCCTCCTCGCCCTCTCGCCCTCCGCCTCGCCCTCCGCCCTCGCCCTCCACCCTCGCCCTGCACCATCCACCATTCCACCATCCACTCCGCCGTCCGCCCTCCGCCCTCCCGCCCTTCGCCTACCTGCCCCTCCCTCGCCACCTGCGCCTCCGCCTCCGCCCTCCACCCTCCATCTCCCTACACCTCCCCACCCTCCCACCTCCACAGCCAGCACGCAGCACCTGGCGCCACGCTTCCTCCCGTGCTGCGGTTCCCGCCTCTTTCTAATGCAGGGTTGTCCAACTCGTGGGACGAATGTGGCCCGCGGTGCCATTTATTCTGGTCCGCGAAATCTTACAAAGGCACACAACAAATGCTGTCAGACGAAAAGACGTGACACGTGTTTCTCTCCGTCGAATTCGAATGTCGCGCGTTGAAATACGTAGAGAAACAGGTATCACGTCTTTTGGAGAGACAACGTTAAATACGTGTTTTATTAGTCAAAAATGAAAATTCCTGGCATCCATGAGGAGGAAGAGAATTGTGCCCTTAGCGCACGCGCCGTGTCGAAATCAATTCTCCCTTTAACGTAAAAATAGGTTAAGTGTGGTTTTACGGATTTTTTATAGTAACTTCAAAAATTCAAAACCATCCCCAGGTGTTTCACAGCGTTATGACAGATATCACACATGATTCCATTGTTCACACACGCCATCGTTTCAGAGCAGCTGGGTAAAATGAAAAGATGAACAATACGGGAATGTCAGATGTGAATCGACCGAGTAATGCAAATAAGGCCCGCAACCATATTAAATATTTTAGTTGTGGCCCTTGAAGCCTTGCAAGTTAGACACCCCTGCTCTAATGTTTTAACGGTGGGCGGCCGACCGGGTAGCACCGAAATGCGCAGGGTTAAAGAGAAGGGGAACGATGTATTTCGTGAAGTACTCGTAGTATGAGCGGAACCTAGACTGGATTCATTGATTAGTGATTCCGGGTGCGGCTACTAGCGAAGGTTATTAGTACCGCAACTGTAGTGCATGTTTTATCGTGGAAGGTGGTGGTGGTGTCTCTCTTGTGGATAGCGAGTTGCACCACCAACCTGCCCGTCAATTTGCGGGATTTTCCCCTACTAGATACCTCCTATAAGGGGAGCACCGTCCCATCAGGACAAGCTCTAAGCTTTCCGACTGGTCTCCCGACATGTGTGGTAGTGAAATGCGTGTGTGTATATAAGGGGGTAAGGCTAGGACAAAGAAGAGGTAGGAAAGATCGCGCGCGGTCCGTGGCCTGTGTGGCCGATCGGTAGAATTCTTATCCAGACAGCGACTGAATTCGACCTATCTCGCTAGTGTTGAAAGTCTAACCATCTTTGGGGCTCGAACCTAGGACAGACCTCTCAGAGTCTCTTCAATGACATCAGTTGGTGCCCTTATCTCTCCCAGTATGTGTTATTAGGCCTGTACGCGTACTTTGGTTTTAAGGACGATGATGATGACGACCTGATGACTTGAGCATTACCACGTAAAATATGACATTATTGAATTGAAATGAATCGAATAGAATCCAATCTAATTCAATCCATTGCAATTGAATTGAATGAAAAAAGGGTCGCTCAGAAATAAAGTAGTTAAAAATAAATTATCAGGGCGATAACAAGATACGAAGTTATATATCCTGATAAAAAAAAGAATTTAACTGATCCTCTGGCACATGTGTTATCTTTCAAATAACTTGAATGCAATGTTTTTATGTCGACAGCATGAGATAATACGAAATGCGAAAGAACGTTGGACACTTTTATTGTTATTAGAATTCTTATTCTTCTGTCAACCTTTTTTTTTTCTTTTTTACTCATCGGAGAAGTTACTCAAATTGTAAAACTGTAAGAAAACAGTAAAACTATGTAGTTACCTGAAACAAAATGTAGATAAATATTATTTTAAGGAAAATGCGATATATTTTTCTTTTTATGCGATGCATACGTATCGTCGACGCAGGTAAAATAGAAGTCAAATGTACTACGTGAAGAGGAAATTAAAGGTATAGGCACCATATAATTAAAATTGTAGGTACATTAAGGGTGTCGTGTGTGATACCGTGTGTGGTCATGATTAATCAGGGATTATGCGTTATCGCTAGTTAACAATCACACCAGAAATAAAAAGGAGTAAATTAATAACTTTTTACAGTAATTATTCACAATATTTAGATCGACTTGACTGAACTAGAGCAAAAAAACGTAATGTTCATTGATTATAAGTTATTCACCATATTTTAAACCTAAGGTGCACAACAGGATTTTTTATCATAGTACACAACATCACGTGCAAACATTGGTAAATACGAGAGTTGGGGCCGATGTCATTGGATTTTTTTTCTAAATGAAATGTTACAAGATCACACAATTTTATATGCTACGTGAAAAAAAATGCGCTTCTAATGTGCGTTTACAGCAAAAGATGGCTCAGTGAGTGTCTGTATTAGCATAGAGAAAAATGACAAATCGTCGTGCGAGATCAATGTAAACCCTTTACGAGCAGCGCTCATACACCTAGATAGTCGTTCTCCATGGAAGAACTGTCTGAGAATGTCACAGGGAATTGGTAGACGCTGTTCGGAATAATGCCCTTCCACTCCGGATAGTCGCGAGATGGGCAGGAGAGTTCCTGCGAAGACACGTAGCAACCAGTAATCACCAACGCACGTGACAACCTGTTATTATGCCGACCGATGTAGCACGTGCCGTAATCGAGCATCTGCGTTATCGAGCGAACAGGACGGGTTATGTAATGCTTTTGGAATGTTGTTAACTCGTGCGTGGTGTAATGCTTTGCAACCTGAAGTCAGTACTCTCGTTTCAAACACCCACACTAACGCGAGAACCACAATTTTGGTCTGGCGTTAAGTGTTCACGCTCTTATTTCATACCTTGTCTTTCCACGTGTATATTTTCCACTTTCCACGTGCTCGTATTCTCACAAAAACCATTGTTGTAATGACGTATGCCCCAACACAGGAATAAAACATGTTAATTGCATTTTAGAAACATGTTTAATTCCGAGTCACAGTCAATAGTTGTTAAATCCCTTCAAATATGTCAACCGTTCCTCCTTTTATCAGTATTGAAGAACAATTACTGTACACAAGAAACAGTAATTGTGGGGACATTTAGTCTATGCGTAACCCTCGTTCGCTCGTTGTTTAGCGTGCTAGCTTTCCACGGCACAATCTCGAGTTCGATTCCCGGCGGGTCAAAAATTAATTGTGCGCTTGCCTTGCAATGTCCCAGTATCTGTTGCTGTGTGACGATGAGAAAGCTAACGCCTCAGGTTGAGAAGAGCAGAATACAGCATAGGTATAGCAATGTGCTAATCAGAAGTACTCCTTAACCCTTTGCCACAAGACTGGGACTCTGCTGGTAGGCCTTCGCTCGTCAAGAACTGTTTTGCCAAAGTACATACATAGAGTGCATATGTTCTTTTGTATGTTGTAAATTTTCCACAGTTCGTTTTCAGCGGACTAAGCTAGGCCGCTTTAAATATTAATAACATTTCTAGTCATTTTGCATAATAGCTAATGTGAGTTGGCCGACGTAATAGTTTTCTTTCTTTTGTAGGTTTGAAGTCTGGTGAAACCACACCTGCAAACGAGATTAAGCCGGAGACTTTGGCTCAAATGACAGCGGCAACAGTCAACAGGCCCTGTGTCCGCTTGAAGAATGGAGTTTTATATAACATAATTCTTGAAGTTTTGCTACGAGTCTCAAAAAGAATGATTGGTGGATTAGTGTTACTGGGTGAGTAAACCACTATGATTATTAGTCCCTTAAGAGTAGGAAAAATTTTGTCACGAGAAATGGCGGTGATTTTTCCCCGCTGGATCATGTAAACCAGCGGCGACCTTCACGTTTGCCTGCGGGGTTTTCCACAAATAGTGGGACCCCCCCCCCAGACGGGATAAGCTGAAAGCTTCCGACTACTCTCTTTATACGTGTTGTAGTGTAGTGCAAGTGTGTATGAAAGTAAGATCTGAAGATAGGATAAGGAAGAGGAAGGAATTATCGCATGATGTCCGTTAGTTGGAGTACTACTCCGTCATTTCTCTTGGTGTTGATCGGATAAAACTACTGAAACTAACGATCAGATCTGCCAGCCGCTAGAATTATATTTCGTGTAGCGGCTGAACTCGACCTAGCTATGTAACTAGTCATCGAAAAACCTGTCATCGTCGGAACTCTAACACTAGAGAGTCCGCATCAGCTCCTAGCATAGATAGCTGTGACATCACTTGATGCCCTGAACCACCTAAGCCGGTACGCGTGTCCAATTTGGTGACGAAGTTCCAGCTTTCTGCCTGTTTCATTATCAGCCTTGACTCTGACCTATAAATTCCAACCCATTTTATGTCAAAGTACTTTTTTGTCGAACATATCTTTTTCTATTATCTAACAAACAGAAATGCTGCTCGCTAGTTATATCAACAATAGATGTTTAAGAAACATTTGCAATGCCTTAAAGTGACAAAATTACAACGATAATCAACAAAAATAACACAATGAAGAGATGCAATATTTGAAAGAAATACTGCATGTATCGGTTTCAATGACTATGTTAAACAAGGTGATAATTTTAGTATCTGGTTGCATTTAAAATTCCCGCTAATATTGTGGACGCAAATTGGTGCATGGAGCTCATTGGCTAAAACCGGATACGATGCGCGAGACTCACCCCTGGATTACGCGGACGAAATATGAGTCCAGGATAAAATAAATAAATTCTTTCCATAGCTTGATCGAATTCCAAAAAAGAGGAGGAGAATTCTTACGTCGATTGTTGTAAAACGGTAATTTTGTGTGATTTATCAGACAATATCAAACGAAGCTGAAGAAGTGCTTTAACAAACCGTTCGCCAAACGCGTTCGATATTTCTTTCCTCATCTTGTTCTCCATTTTCCCTCATACACACACACACAATTGTAGCACTACACTACGACGTAGTATACACGGGAACGTAGACTTTATTTCCGTTGGAGCGGTGCCCCACTTAGGGAATACCCGAAGGAGAAAAGACTCCCAACCAGAGTAGTTGGGTAGTATCACCTTTTACTATTACATTGTCGAGTTTCGAGAAACCACTGCTTAAGTGAGGCCCTTGAGTCTATATCCATATATATATATATATATAATATATATATATATAATATATATATATTATATATATATATATATTCTAACATACCCACCTACACCCCCACACAACTTACCACCTTCACAGTAGCACGCATGAATCCGTAGCAGGGTTGTCAAGATTTTGCTCGTGAAGCAGCTTTAAAAATCTAGGAGCAGGATCTCAGGGTGCGAGAAAGTTTGACCCTTGACACAATAAACCACACAGATTGCACACAAACGAGCGTATAATTTACTCATAAACTTTTAGTGGCATAGTTAATGACAAACCAAGAATATAGAATCACACTTTACAAAGAAATAATCAAAACACAAATAGAAACCTTACAAACACACTCATGTGAATGAACACATAATTTACTTCAGATTGTACTCTGACGTAATTACCTAAACTACACTGGAATTCCCTTGGAAAATTAATTATATCTAAATTTGTGCTATCTAATAACATTTCACATGAATCAAAAATTCAATTTACAATCTCTCGTTTCAAGATATTACATGTGAAGAACAAAATGTGTGCAAGTGCAACTACTCTAATTTACAATTTAACTGTGGTCTGAAAATAGCGAAATTAATAAATGTCTAAGTAGATATGTTTTAGGCAGCAATAAGCGCATCAAACCGTTTCCTACTAGAATACTGTGATTTGTTGCCACCCGTGTCCTCAATTCTTAACACTTTCCTATACTAATTTTCCTGCCGACGTGAACTTGACCCTATTTTCTGCGGATTCCTAACTGTTACCTCGTGGACTTGTGCGCTTGATGGTCGTGCGCTGGGTCGCTGCGCTGACGCCGTTCGGTCGCGCTCTGCGTCGTAAAGAGAGACGGGATTCGCCTCTGCCTCTGCGTTGTCTTCTTGCGTCTCTTTCGTTCTTCTTCGTTGTCGATCAGTCTTCTCTCGTGCGCCAAGTCCTCGGCTCTTCTTCTTCCTCGTCTGCTACCGGCGCCTCGACTACGCCCACGTTGCGAAAATTCCCTTGCACTTTACTGAATACTCGTGCAAGTTCCTCGCTCGTTGCTACTTTTACTTTGACAAGCCAGAACTTTTAAATGTTTCCTTCACAACGGGTAACATTTACTTCCGTGTTGTTTAATTGAAAGAAGACTACTTAATCTGCCACGTATCTCGCGGACGACTAACTAGAACGTCTGTTCGACGCCGAATACTCCTACTATGTCGTTGCAGCGGCAAACCAATATCTAAACTAGTTTAACGAAAGTCTTGACTCGGCGAACGGTGATCAAAAGAGGCAGCTGCTTAATCGACGCGTGTACAAGAAAAGAGAGCTTCCGCTTTGCGGGTTCGCCGTATTTATGGTGCGCGCCTGGGGAAATTTGTGATGGGGGGGGGTTGCTTCCGCCTCTCTAACCCTTCACAAAGAAAACATAGCTCGCTAGTTCGCATTCGTTAAGGCGGCAACTGATACCAGCGCCGTTTAATACCTCTGCCTTACGCGGCTGTTTCCTCGCTGCTGCCGTAGTGTTCACAGCATGAGACGGATTGCACAATCCATAACGCCACAATATATATATATATAATATATATATATATATATAATATAATATATATATATATATATTGAAACGAAGAACTTTCCGCAGTAGTAACAATCAAAAATTGATTACTAATTCTAATTAAAAGAAGCATAAATGCATCAAGCGTAGTAACGCCGCCGCCGCCGCAGCTGCACCAACGGTCAAATCGGGGGTAGACGGGCGAGGCGAGTGACGGTTGGAGAGTTGTCGGCAGAGAGGGTGCGAGCGCAACACGGACGGGCTGTGCTGCTCAAGCAATTTATAGTGATATTACCAACGTTTGAATTGATTGTAGCCATTAAGTGGAAATTGGAGGTGATAAAAATTGATAATCAGATGATTGGGAGAAATGGAAGTGCGCACCAGGACCGGGATCAGTGAAAACATTAATACTGGAGTTTGAGTGGCCGACGCAGACACGCGTTCCATTCCGCCCGGTGTGATGCAGCAGTGGCGCGCACCGTGCAAACATTCGAGTGGGATTGAGAAGAACTGCTGAGATCGGAACTGCCGACTGGACGCAATTGCGCGTTGTGCAAGTTAGTATATGTGATATTGCTTGTACTGGCTGGGGTGACCCGGCGAGCTCGTTGGCCATTGCATCGGGGGGGGGGGCTAGCGGAGTCGACGCCGAGGAGAGCGATTTCCTGACAAACTTCGGGGCGGAGCGAAGTTTGCCGAACACCGCCGCCGTTGCCACGGCGGCCCCGCTCGCCTCCAGCCAGCCGGTGACATCGAAAGCCTTAAGTAGCGTTACTCGTGCACGAATCATTAAAGGCCTTGCGCACTGCGTATTGTAAAGAAATTTTTTCCATTAGTGTTTCAATCATTAAACTTTTAATTGCACAAAAGAGTTTCTTCGATCATTCTTCAATGCAGCGTCAAACCCCTGGAAGCCCATTCGCGAGAATGACCGTCCTTTTATATCATTTTATTTGCCGGAGAGTACGTTTCCAGGTACGTCACAATATATATATATAATATGTATATATATATT